TAAACACGCTAAAAGGTTAAATCTACCTGCAAACAGAATTAAAAACCGTGTAACGACCGCGACTGTCTACAAGTAGTGCGACTACCCAATTTGTTGCTTCATGTCGAATGGCGCAATGCTATTTCTGCTAAGGCTCTTTGGCGAGCAATTGGGTCAACTTTATCCCAACATGACCTTGTTGCGCTGTATGGGTGTCTAGAGCAAGTACAATTATCTAAATAGTATTGCAAACCATCACCATTCTTGGCCGGGGCTATTTTCCCACTGAGAACGCATAAACATCCACTTTCAAAATACGCAAGATTCATATAAAGATCCTTATCAGCTTTTAAACGATATTAATGTCACACATGCAACCTTAATACATAAATAATTATATTTTATCAAATTATTGGCTTAAATTGATTCATTAGCTCCTTAAGCTTAGCTATATGTTCTTGTGGAGCCATTTCGGGGGCTTTGGTCGGTTCTTTTTTAATTTCTAGCGCTTTACCCATGTCTTTAGAGAAGAACCGTATTTCGTCAATGCCACTCATATTCTCAAAACTAGAAGGATTGAGTGTGTGAGTAGTCAAAATGGAATCTGTAAGGTCACAGGCCTTGTATCTATTAGAGTTAATGGTTCCTTGATCCAAGTTTGCTGCATTAAAATCACATGACTTATAATCTTCCATTTCCATACGGGAGAAGGAAAGATTTATGTTCTTGAAGCAACCAAGGGTAATGTGATTATCACGCCAAATAGATTTTGGTGCCTGAGCGTTTGCAAAGCTGACCTCATTAATTTTATTTGATTTGAGGGTAGCAGAAGTTAAATTTGCATCTACACAATCCACATTATCAAGCTTGTTCCCAGACATAATAATATGCTGTAAATTCGAATTAAGCTTCGAATTTGAGATGCTATTATTGTGTAGAGTTGCACGCTGCAGTTCACACTGATTTAGGTTCAAGTTTAAGCGGCTTGTACTAATAATGGCATGATTAAATATACCTGATATGGATTTGGCTCTTGATAATACGCTGTACGTTAAATTTAAGCCGGTAGCTTCCACATGATCTATATCTACATTATCTAAATAAGATCCTTTAATTTTAGTTGCAGCCAGATTTAGACCTATGGCATCTAATGGTTTATCTGTAGAAGAACCAATGATCACACCATTTAAAATGGAATTATTCATTTGTGTGTGAGCTAATTTGGAATTTGTGAAATTGGAGCCTGTCATATCTAAATGACTTAAATCAAGATGAGATAAATCCCTTCCAGAGTAGTCTTGGTCAATCAGATTAATTGGCCTGCCTTCTCCAAATACAAGCTCGTATTGATGACGAATGAACGCCATCATAGGAATATTGCGTGAAACAATCGCATGATGCATCTGAGCTGAAAACTCAGCATCCTGTGCATGATTTTCTTCGACATCCAAGCCGCCATAATCATAAAGCATAACTACACGATTAATATCCAAGTTTCTGAACCTAGAATAGTTAACAGATTGGATTCTCAAATCATTAGATGCATTTGCGAATGTAGCTAAGGAGGTATGTACAAACTCTACATTGTCACCTGATGAGTATAGAATTTCTGAATCGATTGTTGATACATTATTAAAGCAAGCATCTTTTAAATGAGCATGCTGCATTTTCATTCGGGAAAAGCTACTGTGATAGATGGTGGCCTTATTGAAATAAGGCGAAATAAGATTAGCACCTTCAAAAGTCGTTTTAATAATTGTTGAGCCTTCAAACGTAGCTCCGGCACCTTTATTAAAAACACCCTGTAGTGAGCTTCTTTTTATTTGAGTCCCGTTGAGGCGAGTTTTTGTGATATTCGAATCATTAAGTTGGCTTGAAATAATGATGCTGTAATCCATATTTGCATTACTGAAATTACTATTAGAGGCATCAACACCAACAAATTTTACATTTTCCATTTGAGAATTTTGAAAATTACCTGCTCGGATAATGCATTTTCTAAATGTTGTGCCATCTAATTTTGCGTTATCAATTTCAATGCCTGATAAATTTACATTTGATATTTTTTTATTAGAAAGATCAGCACCAGACAACGAAATAGCACGATCAGAGGCATCTTGCATGGCAAGAGAATCGTAATCTTCTTCGTTTGCTGATTTAGGAGGTATGTATGTGTGTAATATTTTGCCCTCTAAATCATAAATATGATGCGTTACAGGCATTTTCGCATGCACCTTTCGCTATGATCTAAATATAGGCTATTCAATATTTATTTTCTTTTCAATCAATTAAGCTGTTATTGAAAGTTTTGGTTTATTGATGGCTCTAAAATGTCTGTCGTATAACACATATTTGGATTGAATTATTCAATTTATTTCATAAAAAAGACTGCTATAAGCAGTCTTTTTTATTTAGTAAATTTAGAAGGATGGGGCAACAGGGCAAGATCCATTTCCTAGAACTTGTGCAGAGCTTCCTATATTTTTAATACGTAAACCATTACCGTTAAAAGCACAACCGGCTTTATGATACCTGTTTCGGTTGACCATTGAGCTTCTAGAAATTTGTTCGCCATTTTTTCCAATTTCTCCACCCAATCCTGCTCCTCCGAAAATTGACTGTGTGATATCGACTTTTAGAAGGCTCGCATTCTGTCTAGCAGAACTTGGTGTCTTACCAAATGGTGCGCCACCTGATCCAGATTCAGCATCCGCACCGCTATCCTGACCACTTTCAAAATCATATAACGCATACCCACCACCACCACCACCGGCAATAACTCTATTATTGGAAATGTCTACTTTAGCACTAGTATTTAATTTAATAGCATCTCCACCATCGTTAATCGCGGAAGTCCCCATTAGATACCAGTCATCAATTCGTAAAGTTAGTTCTTCATCAAAGTGTGCGTTTACACCTGGTATAACATTTGAGGGGAATGGATAATTTGCAATATAAATTGGTAAAAGATCTTGATAAATAGTTCCACTACGCCCCTCATTTCTGTAAACCTTTTGTTGCGGAGTGTAAGGAGCATCAGGATTATACAAGGAACCCGGCTTGACTGAATTCACACCATCACCACCGCGCCCTAAAATATATCCATTATTTACGACTGTGATTTTCATACCTGCAGGCAGTCTGCTGTCGAAATAAAAAGCAGGGGTTTGAGTATTGTTCCCAACCACAGCGACATCTGAATCAACAATAATCTGTAATGACGTGTTTGAATTAGGGGTCTTTTTCAAGACATTCACAATATCATCATAAACGTTGATTGACGATTTCACGTAAAAGTTGTCCGACCTAGCGCCGCTAGATTGATACTTGTTATTCACGTGCAAAACCAATGCATTATTAGCCGGATTCGTTGGATCAGTTATGTTGGAACCATTCCCTGGAACGGTAGGATCAGTAGGGTTGGTCGGATTTGTCGGATCAGAAGGGTTTGTTGGGTTGTTCGGATTCGTTGGAACAGTTGGAACAGTTGGTGTTGGTGTAGACGGAGTTGTAGTTGTACTTGAGCCGCTAGGAGAATTACTGCCAGTTGGTGTTAAAGGCTGATCAGGAATTGCTGTGCAATTATCTGCAGAAGTTGTAGGAATTGTTTTTAAATCTTTGGATAGATATCGAGAATCGACCGTACTTGAAACAAAAGATACTTTTTGATTATTCAAGATATTAAAAACAACCTGCTTACCTTGCAAAGCTTTATCAGTCGTATTATTAAATTTAAACGTAGCAGTACAACCACTTGGGCAATTTTCCCCTTTAGATATTACCTTTGCTCCCGAAATGGTTAGCGTTCCGTAGCGGTTAGGATATACATCGTTAACACCGGCAACAGCGGTGCAGCGGCCACTTTGTAAGTTCTGACCAACAGTAAAAGACTGCATCGTTGCTGATTTTAAGGACTCTGTAACTTGGGCGCGTGCAACATAGAATTTATAGCTTGGCACCGCTACAGCAACTAGAACACCGGCAATAGCGAGCGCTACAAGTGTCTCTACTAGAGAAAAACCTTTATCTTGCATATAAGCCCCTGAAATCATAGTTTTTAAAAAAAAAATTATATAATTTCTCAGGTTCGGAATTATTACAGCAATATTAAGATTTGATTAAGATTTTATGACAGTATTCAATTTTAGTATTTGGATTGATAGCTTTTTTTATAAATATTGAATATTTTAAGGGTTTTAGAAATTGTAATTTTTAGGCAATAAAAAGGCTTAAGATTTACTCAAGCCTTTTTGAAGTTAATATAAATTCTACAAGTAGACAACATTAACTAAGGAAATATATGAAGCTTCATTATTACATAGATCAAAGGCTTGTAAATACCTTTTCACACTAACTTTATTTAAGTTATTGTTAATAATGAATTTAATTTCATGTTTCGCCAAATAAGGGCTTCTCTCTTAGACATGCAGGTTGAGCCTGATGAACTTCTTACATCATTGGGTGATGCGAAAATATGCTTAAACGTTTGGAAGGGGATTTTGCATGACTGGAATGCACTCGAAAATTAATAGCTTATTAGAAAACCACCGTGGCATTTTTTTAATGCAGAACAAAAAACCAGTATCAATTACTGGTTTGTTTGTCTAAATCACAATGATATTTAAGTGGTATTCTACAAGGAGAACTACCCCCAAGTTCCGGCACTCGGTTGCTCAGCAGAAGGCTTATAAGTGGCTACAGCAATACCTTTATATTTAACAATAACTGGAATCATGTAAGGCCTACTACTGGAATCTGGGTTATCCATAGGATACGCAAACCCGTTAAATTCTAGATTTCCTGCGAATATTCGTCCTTTAAATAGACCTGATACTCTCCCACCATAAATATTGTAATAAGGCTGAAATTCAACACTCCAGTTGTTGATATTTCTTTCTTCAGCAGTTGCATTGCCCTTTAAAGATATTGTGACTCGCGCCCTTGCGTCATAGCAAAAGCAGTTCTCAAACAATAGATCAGCCTTAATGTTCGCATTTTTAAACGCATCTTTAGCCTGCTCCTCAATCGTTGCAGTAGGTGGAGTCGGCGTTGGCACAGGTGTCGGCGTTGGCACAGGGGTTGGAGTCGGATTGGTTGGTGTAGTTGGATTGGTTGGATTCGTTGGGTTTGTTGGATTCGTTGGGTTTGTTGGATCGGGTGTTGTTGGTGTTGGGGCAGTTGGTGTTGGATTCGTAGTTGAACCGCCAGGAGTACTACCATCAGTTGGTGTTAAAGGCTGATCAGGAATTGCTGTGCAATTGTCTGTGGTTGTAGTCGAAATTGTTTTCAACTCTTTAGGAAGATAAAGCGAATCCACCGTACTTGAGACGAATGATACTTTTTGATTATTGAGAATATTGAATACAACTTGTTTGCCTTGTAGATGTTTTTCAGTAGTGTCATTAAACAAGAACGTTGCAGTACAGCCACTTGGACAATTTTCTCCCTTTGATGTGACTTTTGCGCCAGAAATAGTGAGAGTACCAAAACGATTAGGATATACATCGTTAACGCCTGCTACTGTTGTACAGCGTCCTCGCTTTAAATTCTGTGCAACACTGAAAGATTGCATCGATGCAGAACTTAACGATTCTGTAACTTGGGTTCGCGCAACGTAGAACTTGTAACTTGGCACCGCGATGGCAACAAGCACTCCGGCAATAGCGAGTGCTACAAGTGTCTCTACTAAAGTGAATCCCTTTTCACCTATCTTAGACATCAAATCATCCCTATGAACACTAAAAACATAGTTTAGCCAATTTGAATTTTATTTATTTAAATAGACTTAAAATGTAAATAATTTAGTTACCTACCCATAAAAAATGGCCTGCAATAATTGCAGGCCGTTTTTATTAATTCCGTAATTATTTATACATCTTGTACTCAAGCACAGATGGAACTCTGTGAGTCATAGGAACTGGTGTGCTTGGGGGTAATACTATATGCGGAACGTTTTCATTGAAAAAGGTATCTGTTGCCATATGTGTAGGGATATATGAAATGGGTTTGTATTTTGCATTTTCATTCTTCACCAAAGTATTCCAACACTTGCTTGAGCTTTTACAATCAAAATCATGTTCAGCTTCGTAGATAAATACTGTTCTGTTTCCATATGGTGCTTTATGACGCAAAGTAATTTCAAGTGACTTACCAGATTCTACGGTTAACTTGACTACTGCTAGTTTAGCTTCTGCAGGTGTATCCACATTCAAAACACCAGTAATGCTCTCTTTAATGGAGGAGTCCCTTCTGTGATATCGTGTAATAGAAACGTATGACCCTGTTGAGTGATTGACGTTGAATACAGCTCTCCCCGTATTGTAATTAATAAGATTAGTACTTACTGAAACTGTATTAATCTTTTCAGAGATAATTTCATCTCCGTTCGCTGGGTTTGTTGGATCGGTTGGGTTTGTTGGATTAGTTGGGTTTGTCGGATCAGTTGGATTTGTTGGGTTGGTCGGATCAACCGGTGTTGTCGGGTCAATCGGTGTAGTAGGGACAGTTGGCGTAGTTGGCGTAGTTGGCGTTGGCGTAGTTGGTGTTGGATTCGTAGTTGAACCGCCAGGAATACTACTATCAGTTGATGTTAGTGGCTGATCAGGAATTGCTGTGCAATTGTCTGTGGTTGTAGTCGAAATTGTTTTCAACTCTTTAGGAAGATAAAGCGAATCCACCGTACTTGAGACGAATGATACTTTTTGATTATTGAGAATATTGAATACAACTTGTTTGCCTTGTAGATGTTTTTCAGTAGTGTCATTAAACAAGAACGTTGCAGTACAGCCACTTGGACAATTTTCTCCCTTTGATGTGACTTTTGCGCCAGAAATAGTGAGAGTACCAAAGCGATTAGGATATACATCGTTAACGCCTGCTACTGTTGTACAGCGTCCTCGCTTTAAATTCTGTGCAACACTGAAAGACTGCATCGATGCAGAACTTAACGATTCTGTAACTTGGGTTCGCGCAACGTAGAACTTGTAACTTGGCACCGCGATGGCAACAAGCACTCCGGCAATAGCGAGTGCTACAAGTGTCTCTACTAAAGTGAATCCCTTTTCACCTATCTTAGACATCAAATCATCCCCTATGAACACTAAAAACATAGTTTAGCCAATTTGAATTTTATTTATTTAAATAGGCTTAAAAAGTAAATAAATTAGTTATCTATCTGTAAAATACCGATGCGAAATAATTATAGCCTCGTGGTAGGTTCAATTTACAATATTAAATTGAGTAATGGCGCGAACTATAATGGCTCTATGTCAATGGTTTGTAGCTATTAATAAATTTGTTCTTTTGAACTAAAAAAGCTCTCATTTACTGAGAGCTTTTTTAAAGCCAAATTTAGGGAACCTGGAAATCATCTTCTAAATTTTATTAAAGAGGCGCTTTTGTTTACCAAAAAGTGTTCTTATATATTTATCAATTTTAGGAATAGACGTTAAGCCTTCGTTGAACCAAAGATCAAGTCTAAATGGCAAGTCTAAATCACAACAATCAGGATGGAGTTTAGATAAAAACAATTCCCCTTTTTCGGCAAGTTTTAAATATCGACCATCATACTTTACCAAGCCAACATCAATCATTTGATGAATGATTTCCCATCGGGAGATAACTGACCCAACATTCCCCCCCTGATACTTACCAGTACCAACCCACTTATTACACATTCGAGATAGCAATTCACCATCCAAAATCTGTTTCACACTTCGTAGATAGTAAAGAATAACCAACCCATATTTACTTAATATAAACTTAGAACGATCTACCCCTACAGTGGTTAAGACCTCTCCAAAAATCACTGCTGAATTTACGTTAAAATTATAATCAAAGTGCTTTTTTGCTTCTGCTTCTTTATATCCATTTATAAACCATGCATCTTCTGTTGAATCATTTCTCTCAAATGCTGATTTAATGTCTTTTGCAGACAGGGTATGAAACACAACAGCCTGTATACGTTGATTTAATACAACCTCGCTACAGCATTGAGATAGAAGAACTTGAAAAGCATGAATACCTGTTCTATCAGGGGGGAGAGCAAAAATAATTTTGTCTGCATTAGCGAAAACCTGTTGAATCGTTAAATTCATTGCCACTAATTCACCTTTTATCATTTGGTGAGGTTTGCATGCATTCCCCTCTAAATTGCGGGGCTTCCACTGCGGTTTTAGGATGATCGGAAAATCATGCATCTTCAAATTTCGTGGGTATTTAAAATCATATAGACCAATGGCAAGCGTATGTACAAAGGTTATATTTGAGCTAGGGTTTAGTTCTACTGCAACAGGTGAGATATGGCGGGAAATTCCTGGTTTCTCTGTGATAATCACAATATTTTTAGACATAATCCATATTCCGATTAAGAACGGTTGTTTTTGCACGGCTTAGCCGTGGACTGGGGTGTTTTCCGATGTGACGGAAGGTTAAGTTAATTTAAACTAGGTGCATTATCTTACGTTTTTCACGCTTGTTTCAACCATATAGCCCACTTATTTAAGTTGCATCTATTTTTAATAAATTTTGATCTCGGCCATGCATTTGGGCTAATTCAACTATACGGCGATGGACATCCGAATCACCATGAGGGTCGAGAAACAGTAAACCACTATCAGTAATAGGTTCTTGGACTATTTGATTCGAATTAAAGTCTATTTTCAGTAGATCATCTTGTATCCCTATACCATGAATTTTTGTCAACTCAACCATGCGGCGATGAGATTCTTCACCATGCGTATCTATATAAATTGGAGTAATTTCTTCAACAGATTTTAGAGGTTCATTTGAAACATCAACATCATTTTTGCGAGGGTTCTTCATTGGGTTTTCCTTTTGCTCCAAGTGCTGTTATTAGGCTTCTACTAAGAGCGCAAATACACGCTCATGATGTGCTGCAGCTTCGTTTCCTAAAGTGGATTTAATAACATTGATATAGTCACGTTGGATGTAAGTTGTTAGTCCGAAATATAGGTTCTTTTCCATCGATTTATCGATGAAACTACAGAAATCGGTAAATGATTCCAACTGACAAAAATCATCGAGCGTAAACTGATTGAAGAGTGCAAAATTTAGAAGTAACTTGCGGAGCATGACCCAAATTTCATAATCGAATTGCTTTGATATAAGGGTTTTGTCGTACAGCAAGTCGATGCGGCGTAGTTTTTTTGATAACTCTTCAACTTGAAGATACTTTGAGAGTAGATCACTAAAGCTCTGTGAGTTCAGCGTTTTAATGATATGACAGGTAGTACGGTCATGATCTTGCTTGGCATCTTCATCATTCTTTTTTTGCAAAGTAGTAACATAGTGAACGAATTCAGAATTTGGTTGCGTTTTAGCAACGCGAGCGCCCAATGCGTATAAGCCATCAATAGAAAATAGTACACGGAACTGTTCATGCAAAAATGGCTCATTGCTTAAATACTCATCGGAAATATTGCTTAGAGCGAGAAGTAACTGAGTTGTCATGCTTTGCCACATGAATTTATCTTCAACAACTTCATTCCGGTTTACATAAAATAAATCATACATCAGGCCAATTGCCTGACTTTGGTTAACATTCAGATCGGCCAAAAGTTGCACGTATCTCTCCATGACTTTTAAATATAAATATATACCCCTTGTAAAGAGCTTAAGTATAAGATTTACAAGAGGTATATGTTGGTTTTGTATACTATTTAAAGTATATCATCCCTACTGACACGACTCACAAGATGAATCCAAAATACTACAGGCATTAGGTACAGGAGCCGCAACAGGATTTTCATTCTGGACAGGCTCAAGTTTTACAGCATTTAAAGCCCCTGTATTTAAAGTTGACTTTTCAGCGGACGTTGCCCCTAGTGCACGCAGATAATATGTGGTTTTTAGGCCTACCAACCAAACCATCTTGTACACAAAATCTAGTTTCTTTCCGTTTGCCCCAGAAATGTAAAGGTTCAAAGATTGAGCCTGGTCTACCCATTTTTGACGGCGTGAAGCGGAATCAACCAAATAACGCGGATCAGTTTCAAACGCCGTGGCATAAATGGCTTTGATATTTTCTGGAATGCGTTCAATCTTTTGCACAGAGCCTTCGAAGTGTTTCAGATCATTGACCATCACACTGTCCCACAAGCCAATTGCTTTGAGTGCATTAACAAGGTAAGGATTGATAACTGTGAATTCACCTGAAAGGTTGGACTTCACAAATAAGTTTTGAAATGTAGGCTCAATCGATTGAGTTACACCACAGATATTTGAAATTGTAGCGGTAGGCGCGATAGCCATAACGTTTGAGTTACGCATCCCAGTCGTTTTGACAGCACGGCGTAATGAATCCCAATCCAAGGTGGACTTGGTATCCATGTTGTGCATACCTTCTGGTCGAGTCTTTGCAAGCATTGCAATAGAGTCAATCGGTAAGATACCTTGGTGCCATAAAGAACCTTCAAAGGTAGAATAGCTGCCACGCTCTTGCGCTAAAGCATTAGAAGCAGAAATTGCATGATAACTAATATGCTCCATTGAATAGTCGGCAAACTCAACCGCCTCTTCGGAGCTGTATGCAATGTTCATCTTATAAAGTGCATCTTGGAAACCCATTAGGCCAAGACCGACAGGACGATGACGAAGGTTTGAATTTAGGGCTTTTTCTACAGGGTAGTAATTAATATCAATCACGTTATCAAGCATGCGAACCGCCGTGCGAATCGTAGCTTCTAGCTTCACTGTATCGAGCTTACCATCGACAATGTGTTGCGGCAGGTTTACTGATCCCAAGTTACAAACAGCAATTTCATCGCCTGATGTATTCAAGGTGATTTCAGTACAAAGATTTGAGGAGTGCACAACGCCTACGTGTTGTTGTGGACTGCGGATGTTGCATGGGTCTTTGAACGTAAACCACGGATGACCAGTTTCAAATAGCATAGACAACATTTTGCGCCACAAATCTTTGGCTTTTACAACTTTGTGGAGCATGTTGTTTTGCTTAGCGACAGACTCATAATATTCGTAGCGTGCCTGGAATTCAGCGCCATATAAATCGTGTAAATCAGGGGTTTCAGAAGGGGTGAACAATGTCCACGTTTCATCGTTGAACATGCGGATCATAAACAAATCTGGAATCCAATTGGCAGTGTTCATATCGTGTGTACGACGACGATCATCACCCGTGTTTTTTCGCAAATCTAAAAATTCTTCAATATCTAAGTGCCAGGTTTCAAGATAGGCACAGATAGCACCTTTGCGCTTCCCACCTTGATTAACCGCCACTGCAGTATCATTTGCGACTTTTAGAAAGGGGATAACGCCCTGAGACTTGCCGTTCGTGCCTTTGATATGCGAGTTAAGAGCACGTACTGGTGTCCAATCATTCCCTAAGCCACCTGACCACTTAGAGAGCATGGCATCTTCTCTCATCGCGGTATAAATCGCATATAGATCATCATCGATAGTAGAAAGGTAGCAGCTTGATAATTGTGCATGCAGTGTGCCGGCATTAAATAATGTCGGAGTAGAGGCCATGTAATCAAAAGTCGAAAGCAAATTGTAGAATTCGATTGCACGTTCGTTTTTATTCGTCTCTTTTACCGCGAGACCCATTGCCACCCGCATAAAAAACACTTGCGGAAGTTCAAACCGAACGTCATCTTTTTGAATAAAGTAACGATCAAAAAGAGTTTGAAGGCCAAGATAAGTAAATTGTAGTGAACGAGAGGGTTGGATATGTGACTGTAGTAATTTCAGATCAAATTGCAATAAATCTGGATGAAGAAGCTCAAGTTCTACAGCTTTATGGATATATGCACTAAAAGAGTCAGCCTCATCGCGATATTTTTCAATACCAATGTACTCAAAGGCATCTTCAATGATTTTATTTAATAATAAACGTGAGGCAACGAAGCTGTAATTAGGCTCATGCTCAATGCGTGTACGTGCAGCCATCATTAATGTAACGTGAATGTCTGAAACCTTCACACCGTTATACAGGTTGCGTACAGCTTCCGACAAAACAAGTTCAGCATCTACATCACTTAAACCTGCAGTGGCCTTATTTACCTGATCGCGCAGCTTACTAAGGTCTAAGTCTACATGCTCCCCATTTTTTAGTTCAACTTGAATAAGCGCCGTTTGAGAAGGGAGATTCTGTTCACGTATTTGAGCATGCTGCTCTCGATACAATACATAGGCTCGCGCAACTTTTTGTTCGCCAGAGCGCATTAGTGCAAGCTCAACCTGGTCTTGAATTTCTTCGATTTGAATGACCGTGCCATCCACACCACAACGCCGCAGAAATACGTCTACAATCGCTTGAGTTAAGTTTTCAACCTTTTGATTCACACTGGAAGAAGCACTAGCATCATTAGCCTGATCAACAGATAAGAATGCTTTTTTTAGAGCGATTGAAATTTTATCTTTATTAAATTCGACAACTTCACCATTTCGTTTAATAACCCGGAATGGGGACTGCACAGGATCGACCATCATATTTTCCTTGTTAATGTTTCTATACGAACAATGAGGAAAATATAGCACAATGATATTTTCAAACTCTTTTTAAAGGGAAAATTGAGGAATTTTTTAAAGTGGAAACGAAATATTCTTGTTAGATTAAGCAGTGATTGACCTTATGCTTATAGTCAATCAATTAGAAGTAGTCAGTCTGGTTAATTTTTTAATAATTGAATGTAATTCCCTCATTTCCAATACCATAAAGACAAAATATTGTCATAAAATAAAGTAATATTAAGTTTCTAATTTACTTGAAGAATAGAAAACTTATTTTCGACCATATGATGGTGAATATGACGTGTAAAACAGTAAAAAAATCCACAATATGAAGTGGTAGACATGACCTTCACGCCTGCAGGAAAGCAAGCATATCAATTAGCAGTTCAAGAATTACCTAAAGAGTAAATGGTTAATGTACAGAATAGTCCCTTCAACAGAATTGATTTTTAAACTTGTTAATAACAATGTGCCGAAGCCAAAAAGTTATGCATATATCTTGTTCTCAATTCTTACAATTGTAGGTTGTGGGTATGTCATAGTTTTTTTATTAATTCTAGCTTTGTGTTTAATCATTGGAATAGAGCATGCTCAAAAGTTTATGGATGTATTATATGCATTTGTATTCGCCATTCAAACTATTGTAAATATCTATTATGTTTTTAGAAAATATACAATATCAGTAGAATTATATAGGTTTGCTAATTTAAATTTTGACCTTAAACTTATTGATGTTTCAGACGACCCGAATTCAAAAATGTCCGGATATATGATTGATTATTTATGCATTGAGACCCCAATTTTTGACACACATACTGTCTATATAAAAAATAAAAAACCAACAAATTACGGTGTACTAAGAAGGCAGATACTTAAAAAATACAATAAAAACAAATCACCAAGCATTCCTTTTGGGTCAGAAGAATATAGCAACTATATGCATATACTTACTCATACGCTCAATGATAGTCCTGATAGTCTTCTAACTTTTAGAGAGCTGTATGTTCGAGCGAAACTAGAAAGAGATTGAGAATGGGTGGTGCTTAATGTTGATTTTAAGTTTGTAATTAGGCATTATAACTACCAATCATCAAGCACTTATCGGCTTCGGCTGATTTGATGCGGGATAAAAAACGCCAACTAGAAATAGTTGGCGTTTTCCTTTTGTACTCAAAGAAAGAATGATCTACTTGGTTTGGGAAAACCATCTGCTGTTTATGATTTCGTTTAAAATTAAGCTTCGGCCTTCCAAATTGGCAAAACTTCTTGGTTAGGTGTCTTAAAGAACATACCAAAGCTCCACGTTCCTTATATCTTTTAATCTCTTTTATCAAAAAGGAGATCAACGAAACTAACAACATAAGCTAAGACAGCAATACATAGAACATATAAGAATGGAAATGATTGACCATTGAGAAACGGTGCATTTGGCTCAGCATCTAGTAAGGTATGTAACCATGACGTTCCTGTATATTCATAAGCCCACTTAGTCATATAAAAAAGAGCCACAAACCAAAGGTAGAACAAGACGCATATCAATAAGCGGATTTTTTCATGTCTGCGCTGATTAGTGGTCATTTCCTCTCACTCCATTTACTGTTCTGTTGGTATAGGTTGAATAACTTCACCATCGGTATCAACTTTCTGTTGTGCAGCATGTTCTACGAGACGCTGTTGATCCGCTAAAGCTTGTTGAGAAAGTGCCTGACGAACTTGGGTTCGCACTTTATCGGTACTATTCTCCGCGATCATCTTCTTCATGTTATTACGTCCAATATTAAGAGCGGTAAATTGGCTCCCTAAATCAATATATTCGGCGCGAGTAACATAACCTTTCTCTATCGTATTACGCATAACCTTGACCCACTCATTTGATTTTTCAACATCAATAGCCGAAGGGTCTTTAGGTAAATCTACTTCTTGAATTTGAATGATCATGCTTTCAGCCTGCAGCAAAGTCATTAAATCTTGATTTGACACCGGGCGCTCACCAACACTATTTGCTGTCGCACTTACAAGGTATGCTGAAACCACTAGAACCAATACCGTAAAAATCTTGGCAATTTTATTTTTATTTACATTTGTAAGTCGTGAAATTATTAAATACATCACAAAGAATATTAAGATGACAACCAATATGTAAACTGTCAAATTCATTGCTATTAAAAATAATGGGATTTCATTTGAACCCAATTCAATTATATCGACCACAATACACCTTAGTTGAATAAAACAATTGCATCAATTATACACAACTAGAAAAAAAACGTTAATTTACATTAAATCAAATCATCAATTTAATGCATTCAGCAAAAACAATTGGTGTAGCCAAATAGAATTTTCACTCCTTTTGTGTGCCATTTACACATGTATTTGCAATAAGTTATAAAATTCACTGAACGCCGTGGAAAAGAGTTTTTGTATGGAACCTTATGAATTAGAAAATTTAAAACTAAAAATTGATCTATTGAATATTTCGAATTATTCAAAAGCTCTTCTTTTAGAGATTATAAAAAAGGCCGAAAGACATCAGATGAAAGTTAAAAACACATTAGAAATTAAGCATAGTTTCATGATGACGTTGTGGAAGGCTTTCAAATGCATTCAAGACACCAACCTGGCTACGTTCACAAAAGAAGATAAGGCAGCAATTGCAAACCTGGTTTATGAGTTTGCCGGTCGAACTTTATTAATTCAGTATGAGGCAGGGTGGTTGGATAAGACTAAATTATCCCCCAAAAATACAAAGAATTTTATGAAGATTGTTTGTTAAATAAGTCTATAAGAGTTTAATGGAGGGTAAGCAAATGCTTGACCTTCTGTCCAAGCACAAAACCAAGAAAGGCCAAATATTTGTATTTCGAAAATGATGACATACCGAATAAAGTTAGGTAAGTGGTTCTACTTCACATCACAAATGTCATTAAATCACCCGCATTACAAAGTTAAATAGACGCATCTTTATCCAGGCCAGTAGGAACACTTCGAATTGGCTGTTTTATGTGTTGCAGCTCAATAGCTTTATTGGGCTTTAATAGCATATGAGCGACAGCAACTTTACTTAAATAAAATTCGCAACGAATATTTAGGTCGTCTAAAGTCTCCGAAGCTGCCGCTACATGAGCCATGTAGGTAAGCATCGTATTAACAGGTTTGTCTCCCTCCATAAAGAACGTATGGGTATATATAGCCTGTTTTTGTGTAGCATCAAATACAGGTGCATTTTCAGGTTTAACTGAACTTTTGCTTCTCCACATTAAGTTAATGTAATCAACATTTGGATCTAAGATGATTCGACATGTTCGGACAATAGCTTTGAAGCGATCTTTAAAGGAAAGTGACATTTGATAAGAGCCTATTTTGAAATAATCACTCAGTATGATTGGTCGCACAAATTTGTAGTTCGTACCAATATTTTGAAGTAGTAGTATCCGTAATTTTCAAGGTGATCAGGCCTGCCTCACTAAGCAAGATAAAAAATACTTGCTTCATAGCTCACCTATAAGAAATATCTGAAAAAATTGGATTAGGGTAAATTTACAACAGAATATAAAAATAAATATAAATGAACGCAAAAGAGGCATCAAAAAAGGCTACTTAAGCCCTTAGTCCTAAAAACAAAACTGCGTTAGATGAACTTTTCTTTGCGAAAATTTTTAAAAGTACGAATGGTTCATCGTAGGCTTCTTTACTATTACCTACTGTTTCTATTACACCATCCATCTTATTCGACAATATCCGCGAGATAGTCGCAAGTCTGTAAATCAAGCAGCTTGCCCATCAATTTTCTAAAGTGAAAATTGATTTGGTTTAAATTTGAGGTAGTGTTAAAAGTGGAAGCTTTGTCACGCTTTAAACCGGTCAGCTTTATTGAACCGACCTTTTTGCGCTCACACATTATATTTCCTTTAATAATCAGGTATATATAGTTAGCAAGCCGTGACAAAGTTTTAAAGTGAATTCACAAATAGGGTGCATTTAGTGAATTAGTTATTCAGCAGAACTATTTTTAATAGCATTTACTAGCTTTTGCTTGGCATCTTTATAAAACTCTTTTTCTTCGGGCTTCTCAAAAACCACTATTTCTGCCTCATGACCAGTAATGCTTTTGTATTCGCTTTGAGAGATGAGATTATCGGAAAGCGCTTTTTCCAGAGATTTTTTTAAGTTATCACCTTCAACACTTCCTTTGTGATAATTGTACTTTAAGTTCAAATCAAAATAGTTCTGGTTGTTTATTTCCGAATGCAAATACTTTTCGTTAGGCTTGGAGAATTCGTATGCCATAAAGAGAAGTCCAATAAATGCTGCCATTGCAATAAGACACATGATTTTTACTTGTTTAGACATAATTTGATCCTTAGTTTTCTTTCGTTAATGCTAATTCAATACGTTCAACGGCATTACGCACATCTTTTTTAGATACAAAATTCGTATACGTTCTAATACGCTCAACAGCATCACTCAGCTCATCAACTGTAATAGATGTGCCATTGGTCTCAATCTTTGATTTACCTTCAAGCAAAGCCAGAGCAAACAAAGCTTCTGCTTCGCTTAAAGTACAATCCAGTTTTGCGAAAAGATCAAAATCAGCCATAGACTGCTTCAATGCTAAATTATCTTCATGCCCTGGTACTTGGTTAGACAAGAGTGCTTTTGCTTCTTCCAATGTACAGTTAAGTTTATTTAAAACGCCATAGTCGTTCACGGCGTTTTGAAAATCTATAATTTGGGGTGTTATCCAACGTAAAATGCTTAACTGGCTTAACTTCAATTTGGTATTTTCTAAACCATTACGCGCCGTGTATTGGTAGGCATTTTCATCGTCAAGAATCGCGGGGATTTCCATTTTAAGCCACCTTTAAAAGAGAGGAACTCGTTAAGTTAATCCGTTGGAAAAACGCCAGTCGGATAGTATTTTTTAATGGCTAATTTCACTTTTTAGGCCATTATGATGCATAAAATAAGTATATTATATAATATATAGTATTTCAACAGATATTTAAACTTAATTTTTATGAAGTGCTTATTTAACATAGGTTTATAACTTAATATTTAGAATATTTTGTCTGTCGTTATTAAAGAAAAAATCGTATTTATAAGTAAAATATAAGAATTTTAATATATATTATATAATGTATATTGTTATTGCTATTTAGACGTTATTAGTCCGTGATAAATAAACCACATACAGCCAGGTAATAACCAAAAGATGCCAGTATTGTGAACTGGCATCTTATGATGAGTTTTAATGAATCTGGTGGCAGGCCTAACATTCTAAATTGTGCAGATATTCGAAAAACTGTTCTTGGCTTAAGCCTAAGACATCATCTTGTATATCTTGGTCGTACCACATTGTAATAGTAAATTCGCGGATGGCTTTCACCCATTTCTTCTTTGTTGCGCGTTTAGAGTTTTGCAGTTCTTGGCGGATAAAGTTTTCCCAATGTACTAAAGCAGTGTGATAACCATCAGGGGCTTTTGAGATGATTTTTACCCCATATACGATATGAGCACATACACGTGTGGACTCAACTGGATAAGCTACCAAGTTATTTGCCGTAATCACAAGACTAGCTGCACTAGTTTCTATCAAATCATCACTTTCAATGCTGTAACCTTCTCGAAGCTTCATATCTCCATAAGGCATGTTACGGTTTATAATTCCAAATGTAGGAAATAGTTCTACAGTGTTTAAGAGTTTATGCTCGTTTAAAACCAAGCCAATAACATCCTCAAATGGCAGCAAGGTGGCGGTTTCCAAGTATTTCTCAATATCATCCATTTAGGTTACATATCTCTTAACATGTTTAAGGATTAATCAAATCCAATCATAGCACTATTTATGTATTATATAATATATATTTAACTTGAAAAATGGCAATTTTTTGGCTAAAAGTGAGGGAAGGCTACTTTTTTAGCCTGATTTTGCTCTCAAAAATAAAAAAAATATGAGAATAAATATAATTCAAACATTAGTCATCAATACCCAGAACTTAGATGAAAATCACTTTAGAACAAGTTCGGTTGGCTCTGTTGATATATGCAGATCAACAAAAGCGGCCACATTATGCAATGTATATTGTGCGAGAAGTCTTGGACGCGATCCGCAATAATACATGGCATCCTTTAAAACAAGCCACACTCCAAGTTATCTTTGCTGATGAAAATCTATTAGGTCAAGGGCAAAGAAAACCTGAGCCTGATTTAGATCCAGTGGCATGTATGGAAAAGATTAATGAAGTACGAAAATACTTTGCCGGACAAAAACTTTTGTCTAAATCATCCGGGATCAGTGAACGTACTATTTCGCTTATCATCAAGGGTAAGGCCAAAATTAATGTTTCGGTATGGAATAAGCTTTCCCCAGTGATTGATGAAGTGATCTCAGTGTTAGAGCAACGTGAAAGAAACAAAGAGGCCATCCCGCACGGAGAATACACACGTTATCGCCGTGGGTGCAGATGTGCAGATTGCAAAACGGCCTGGAATGCCTATATCTTGACAAATAAACGTAAAAAATCGGCTCAAAAAAAAGTTGAAATATAAAAGAGTATTAGTGTTTAAATCAACTTAACAAATACAAACACTTTATTAGCAAGGAAATATAAAAATAAAATGCTTTAATCTTCCGATCTATAGAGTTCATCCAGTTAATGCAGTATATATAACTGGATTTTACAGACATGAAATACTCGCCGTGCAATAGGGAATAAGATTTATATTCATTAAACAGGCATTTAAAATCAATTTTATTACAA